TCGAGCACAGATAAGCAAAGAAGACGATTTGATGAACGATAAATAATAGATAATTCTGAATAATAAAAATAGGCAATGCGTTTTGGATCTGTAAAAACGTTCCTCTGAAATCAGAAAAATATTGCAAGTTTTCAATCAACATGCATTTACAACCGCAAGAAACTGTAAGGCAACTAAAGAAGAAAAAGAAAAACGTATCTCACGTCGAAGTACAGAACAGAGCATCAAAGACACGTGTAAAACATATTGCGTAGAAAAAATTATAAACGACAGCAACGATGATGAAATAGCAAAGAACGAAAAAAAATTGTAAATAGTAGAAGAAATTGTTGTTTTTTTCCTAGTATGCGTCATGAAAATTCATTGTATTTTTCCAAATAATTGCAAAATCATACAATAATCATCGACAATATCCCTACTGAACGCAAATGAGACGTTGGTTTAGTTATAGAAAATATGGTTGTCACATCTATTAAACAAAGAACGAGGGTGTGGGTGAAGCTTCTCTGTCTATGACACTCACACCCTAAGAACTTGAAAATTCAGTAACTACATTGGAGTTGTGGAGAAAATATAAACTATCGTATATAGACTTTTTCAAGATCTTGATGGCATGCTCAGCTACCCACAAATTTTTGATTATGCTACTACATGATAGGATGACAGTGATGAGTGGTGGATAAGTTTGACGGTGCAACATTTACAGGCTAGAAAGTAGAGTAGAGATGCGTAAAAATCGAATTGATAAGTAAAAATTCAGTCACACTCTTACATCAAACCGTGGGGATATCGATTGAATTTTCACATGATTGATAATCTTTTGTCATTTTGAGTCTGAGATTTTGTCATAGATTTAAAGGAGAAAGATCTAGGTTATCATTTTTCTGTTCCTACGCAGTATACTACTTTTTCATGATCGAGAAGAATTATATTGATGTGACACACTCAAATTCCATTCGATCTTTTTATTACTACTTCAAATCAATCAGAATAAGATGAATTAGTCATTTAGTTACCAAAGAGATGAGTTGACATTTTTAGCTTTTCTATAAAATTATTAGACAAAAGTTAAGAATATAACTCGAGTTGTCTATTTCAGACATCTTGATGTTTTTTTCATTATTTTTCAAACTTCAAAGTCGTATTTAAAGATAGTTCGATCAACAGACGCATTATCATTAAGGAAAAAAACTAGACACCTATGTAATCTAGAACAGAGTTTCTTTTCGTATTTATCATCATTGAAAATGATTTTTTGTATCACGGATACAAACACTCCCGTTCAAGGTACCTTGAATCTTGCCTCGGCTTTTGTTCTCATCAAGAATATCGTTGCCATATGGTTTACATATCTGAAGAAAAAAAGGAACGTCAAAGTTAGTGGCTAATCCAAAAGGTGATTCAAAAGTTTCGACCCCTCTCAGTAAATCGATGATATCTATAACAAACTTATATGAAGTTATTGATCAAATTATATCATTCTGTAGAGGACGATTAGAGCTATCATCTGAAAAAAAAGCAGTTCGAAATACATTAATCGCTTAGAATCTTATGGTCATTTTACTAATCTGGAGTGAAAATTTTTACGTTACATTTTTTGAAAAAAACAAAAAAAAACTTTAATGTTTGAATCGTTAAATTCGAGCCAAACATTATTTTCTACATGTTTTTAATAGATATTTTTATGTGGTTCGATAAAGTTGAACAATCTCGACAAATATATGAATATCAAAAAAAAATTCGAATCCTCATTTCCAATATAAAACTCGATTGAAACCACGCAAAATAATAAAAATCTTATATATCTCTCATGAGATCATATGCTTAACTTTCAAAAACTTTAGTTGATCGACTATTAATTGATATTTCGAGATACAGTATTACATACTAAAGCTGAAAATACATCTTTTGAGCTGCCTGAATAGATGGAACCGTCAACCAACTAACACTTTTGAAAGATCAACTTACTCACTGATATTTGATACATGAAATTTTTATTAGTTTTTCTGATTTCTTTTAAGTTTTATATTGAAAATAAGATCAAAAGTTTTGTAAACATACATATTCTTGTAGAGCTTGTCGAATTATCTCGAATCATGTAAAAATATCTAGAATACAATATGTTACTTAAGATGTTACAAACATATTTTGTTTTTTTTAAATCTAACGTAAAAATTTTCAATCCAGATTAGTGATTTGATCAAAAGATTCTAATAGATTTATGTATTTCGAACTGCTTTTTTTTGCACATGATAGCTCAAATCTTCCTCTACAAAATGATATAATTTGATCAATAACTTCATATAAGTTTGTTATAGATATCATCGATTTACTGAGAGGGGTCGAAACTTTTTCATCATCCTTTATTTTAATCAATAAGTGCTAGAAGCAATAGGTAGCGTGCATTATTAAGTACAAGTAGATTCTAGCTGAGATAAGCTATCTACACACCAAATTACCATTGCATAAAAGTGCATTTAGCTTTCTTCTTTAAGAATCATGAAGCGAGGCGCTAGAACGATAGTGAATTCCGAAACCTTCTAGGATGTGAGTTTGGGCATCGAAATCCTCTTCCATTATACCTATAAACAACTTTAGTCACACTTACATCCACCACACCTCATCTTGTTCTAGAGAAAATAAGCATGCAAAATGAAAGAATGCGTTGAAATGCGTTTTTTATTCTTAGTTTTTTTCACGGACAGACACATAGATTTCTTTTTTCAATACAAACCATTCGACTTGATTGACTATAATTACAAAACTATGACAAATAATACTTGAATACAGCGATTTACTTAGGTAGTAGAAAACGAATTTTATTTTCAATAGTATCTGTAAATAAATATCATGCCTGAAATGTTACTGAAACAAGGTGCGCTGATCATTTTAACAATTCATATTTTACCAATAGATAAATTACATTTAGTTACCTTCCTAAATGTCTAAGTCATATTTGTATTATATTTGACAAATCATTTTTCTTATCATAGAATGAACGTTGAGAAAAGTCCATGATCGATATATTTGTTCCGTTCTCCCTTCTGTTTTCTTAATATGTTGGCTTATAATTTGACTTGCTTATATTTAATTGTATATTGTTGATTGTAATTGTTACTTTGACATTGTCCGAAAGTGAATTTTTGTGTCACCAATACGGTGACAAATAGGTTCATCATTGTTCAACAAACAATATAACAACTGAGAAAATAACAATACAAGTTACAGATCATTCGGTCATCATTAATCTATATAAGTGTATGATTTCTTATTTCTTTTATATGATTGAATTCACTGATGCAATGATAGTTGGCAATATGAAACAATTTGAGTACGATTGCTACAATGGTATGTTAATTTGGTTGAATGTACACTATTTCTACCTATGCGTGATATGAATACCGATTTCATCTACGATTTTGTTTTTGTATCCATTTATAATAGAGCTGTGGATGTTATGGCCGGCGTCGTTATGTTTTCGGCTACGAACAAATTGACAAAGAGGAAGAACTGAATATAGAAGAATTCGACAATAGTCTTGTTCATAATTTCATTAGTATTTTCATGACCGAAGTTAAAGTGAAATTTGTATTATTGCTGCTTTAGTATCGACATACATGTTAAATATTGCTCCAATTACTCGAATGCGAATAAATCGTTGGATAAATGAAGGATATTTATGCTCCATTGTCAATCTTCACTATATAGTATTTATACTATGTATATCATTCTGACGAACATATATATATATATATATTAATAATTCTACATGTTATACTCAATTTACAAGCATGATCAAATTGATTGTATTTGTGCTTGTACGTTATATGGAGTTATCTCCATTTTCGAGGCTACATAAAAGGGCAATCTTATTATTCTATCGCTATTGTGATGCGTCGGATCCATATCAGATACATAAAAAAAAAAAATTTCTTGAGTTCTCCTTCGATGGCAATAAAATTTCTATAGTATAGCCTTTTTCTGACATATGTATTATTGACTGTTTATTGTAATATATCCTTTTTACATTGCTCGTTTATAAATAGAAAACTATTTCAATATTCTTTTCGGTTTACGTATGGATATTCTTTGGAGAATCCTATTATCACATTCACACTCAACACTGACCACAGGCGAAAACCTTTTATAGGTTGAACATATTCGATGGCAATATCAGGATAGTTAGTGATTATGTGGAATATGAAGTTAAATGTTTATTGTTATTTCACTATAACATCATACCGTTCTACCGTTACTTGAAAAAAATCGTTCATTGGTACTAAAAATTAGTTTTGCGGGATTAGCAATTTCACTCTCGTCGAACCATGTCGAAAAAAGGACCAAAAAAAAACAATCTTTACTTGAAATTCGCATCGCCGATACCTTACTTATATATTTACTGAATTTATTGAGTGGTTTCAAGAAGTAGAAGATAGTCATATATTGGGTTTAGAAACTTTCGCACTGCTCGTTAAATAAGATTCTGAATCTATTTTAATATTGAATTATAATCGTCTCTCTTTAACTTGTTTGGTGAAAAAAAGTAAATATCGAAATACTGATAAATATTGTTTCGTTTCATCCTTTTCAATACAAATTTTTGCCAACACCGAATTTTGAATGACGATATATTCTTATTATCATCAAGTATTATCATACAAATATTAATTTAGAAGTTGAAAATGTCAAATTAATTTTAGGATGATGATTACTTTTGTTTAGCATTGTTAATACTTTCTTTTTTTGGAAATGAACAAAGCAATAATAACAACAATCAATTACTATGTCAATCAAAAAATCATCTTATTGTTTCATTAATTTGTCAAATTTCATTTTAATCCTAAACTAATATTTTGTTTGTATGAGATATGAGCAAGGTTTTTTTACATGATAAACAAAGAGACACTGTTCTTATCTTGTCAGTTTATAAAGATACAAATAACTAAGATGTATAATTGACATTTGCGCATTATAAAACAATAAGTTAGAGTGACGTAATTATGACTTCTTTAAAATTGATATTGTTTATTCTTGCATATATTGTAATAAATGTCAAAGGAATATGTGACCGTCAAAGTGGTCCAGTTGGAAGTATCGAATGTTCTTTCAATCCAGATTTCGATAAAAAACAATGGAATACTTGCCTTACAAACAATTATATCCAACGGCAATCACAAGGACGAGAAAAGTGTGCTGATCAAACAGATATTTATTGTACGTATGCATGTATGCCTGAAGTATATTACGTAAGAGATGGCAACGTAGTTGACACATGTGCTTGTAACGATTCATTAGTACCACCGACTTCTTCATTACCTACTGAATGTTTGAGTCCTGATGGATCGAATTGTGATTGGTACAAAAATTGTCTCGAACGTAAATATTCATGTCAAGGTAGTTCAACTGAACATCTTTTCATGTATACCACAATCTTCTGTAATCTATACATAAAACATAAAAATGTATTTACTGATCGGGCACTACGTTGGATCAATGATGGACGTAAATGCTTACAAGTAGCTCTTGTTCCGTTTATTCGACCATTTGTTAATGGAACTTGTCAAGAAATTCATGATGCAGCATTTGATGCATTCAAATCTTGCAATATTAAACCTTATCCAGAAGAAGGATCAATTTGTGATATGACCAGACGAGATTGGTTACGAGCATTTTGGATGATGAAATCAGAATATAGTGTATTGACATCAACAGCAGCTTATGCTTGGTTACAAAATGCACTCGATACTTTCTATGAATGTCAAAATGATCCGCAAGCAAATGATTTTGGACATGTCTATCAAGAATTTAAACTTACAATTGATCTTATTCAAACATCATGGAATAATCAAATCAATTTAAATAAAAATCAATTTGATCAAATTGCAGTCGATATTGCCCATAGAATTGCTAAATTTCTCATGGCACCATCAGAACGATGGGGATGGTATGCATATGGAATACCTTTATCAATACAACGTAGTATTAGTACATATAAACAAATGACTATTGCACTACTTGTTGCTGACTTGCCTGGAATCATCAATGATACATTGATACCACCCGTTAACATAACTAATATTGAGTTTAAAGAGCTCATCCAGAAGCTTAAAAATACACTAGTCAAAGGTGATTTGCAAATACAGAATGATAATGGAATATTTTACGTATCACAGATGGGTCATTGCATTGATATGAAATGTCACGCAACAATAGAGGATATTGTGGCTCCTCCATATGATTCCAAGAGTAATAGCAATAAGAGCTGTTTTTCAATGATGTCTCTTCTTCTCGTTACATTGATATTTTTTCTGTAATCGAATTCATTTTTACTGATCTATATCAATTGAATAAATGTTTTTCTGATTGAAAATTTGAGTTGCTAATCAAAGATTATACTCTTATATTTTCATATGTTACACCATTTTCACAATCATCAACAATTCATTCAATATGATACAAGTAATCAAGACATTTATATAACTCGACCAGTATTCACACACATACTTTCTAAATAGTTGATTAGAATACAACATCTCTTACCGAAAGCTATTCCGCTAATAATGTCTTTCTAATATTCAATTAAAGCGAACTCTACCAAGGGATTTTGCTGAGTGATCAAGTTCTTGAACCAGTGACCTAACAGAGAACGATTAAAAACGAAATTCAAGAAATACGTCACAATACAGTTCAATTAATCTTATGATGCTTGCAAAACTTTGAATAACTTGTTCACATTTAATATCAAAATCATATTCTACAGCTTATTTACATAAAATATTCAACATACTATTACACATGCTGTTTTTTTCTCTCCTGATGACATTTATATTACTTTGAGTGATTCCTTGTAGGAATCATTCACAATTCTACATGCTGTAAAACAGTTGATAAACGACAAAATTGTATTATAGCAATATTATAAAGTAGTTCATCAAGCATATATGTCAAACCTTCGATGAACTTAACACTTTTTTTTCATAAAATTTCATATAGAGTTCACCATAAAAAAGTATGTTGACTTTAAAGTTATCACCAGCTATTTATTGATAGATGAACTTGTCCTTCACGAAGATGTATAGTAGTCTCCAATATATAACAATAGAAGACTTATAGTAAGATGAAAACTCTTTATATACTTCTTGGATTGAGCATTTGTGTTTGTATTTATCTCGTTCTAATTCATTGGAAGATAATAGATCCTTCTGACTATTTCAAATCAGTCGTGACTTAACTTTTGAAACATATCTCTGATGATGATTGTGATCAACTAGTGCATATCGATGTTTTCTACAAGTAATTCAATGATTGTAGTTTAGCTTCTGGACTAATTCGATATATTTAGCTCACTGATCAATGTTTTATTAATCGAATATCTCATCATATTCAATTTGATTGTGATACTATACTCTTGTATTTTGCAATAAATTAAATAATTACATATCGATCTCATTTTGTGTTAAGCATAAAAACCTTTTTTTTTTTCTTGTTTAAAAATAAAATTTTATCTTAATCCGTATAAAAAAAAAAACAAAAAGGAAAAAAAATATATGTATATAAAGTTCACAATTTTTTTAATCGATTTAATTGTTCAATATCATTAAATATTGATGATATAGATGAATAATATGAAAGTAAATCATCAAGTAGTGCTCGATAATTTTCATCAATTGTTGATAAAACTATATCAATTTGCGGAAGTTTTGTTAATTCAACAAGAATATGAAAACAAAATTTTATATATGAAAATGATAATATTTCTGATTTATGTTCTTGTTGATAATGTTGTTCAGCTTGAATCATTATACGACTAATATTAATAATTATTTCAATTAATTTTATTGTTGCACAATCAAATGATTGAAGAGAATTTTTTTCTGGTAAATGAAGAATAAATGAACATTGATCTTTAATATCATTTGAATTTAATAATGTATTTGAATATATTTTATTTAAACGTATTTGTTCAAGTTCATTATATGAAAGACTATTATCATTATTTACTTTTGATATTATTTGATTTGTTCGTATACGTCGTTTTTCTCTTGGAATTTGTTCACGTCGACATGTATAATATTCTGAAAGAATAATTTGATTATGTGGTTGTAATTTTATACATTCTTTTAATATTAATTCATGCAAACGATCATCACGAGACATTTTATATGCTGATGCTTTATGATATAAAGCATAAAAATTATTTTTATCTTCTTTTAATACTATATCACAATCATCAATTGCTTTTTGTGGCTAAAATAAATAATTTTTCTTTTTTTTTTCTAGTTCAATATAAATAATTGTTTTAATCTACCTCAAATACATTTAAATAACATGCAGCTCGTTTTAAATAAGAATATGTTGTAGTAGATTGAAATTCAATACAAAATGTATAACATCGAATAGCAAGAATAAAACAACCATCAATATATAATTGATCAGCATGTTTACGATACCATTCATATGAATTATTTTCTGAATATTCATTTTTCGTTTTTAAATAAGTTAAATAATGTTCATCATCATTTTTATCAACAGTTAATTTTTCCCGCCATTTTTCATCTGTAGTAGAATTTAATTCTGTCTCTAATCTAAATATATATATAGATAGATCAATGGGTTCAGTACCATTTAAATCTCGACATGATAAATTAATTAAAAGATTAAATAATAAACAACGTCAAATTATATATGAAAAATGGAAATATGAAATTGAAAATTATGATATTATACAATGTAGTATTACATTCGATAATATCAATGAGAAAAATACTTCTATGAAATTGAATACTAATTCAAGTATTACAATGGAATAAAGAAAAAAAAACAATCAGAATAAACAATAAAAGGATAGTTTTTATTACTTAATAAATATAATCTATTATTTTCAAGAGTATTTGTAAAACAAGTGAACACCCTTTAAATCAGAAAGTGATACCACTAGTAGATAGAGCTCGATGAGCTGATTCTACAAACATCCATATCTTTTGACAATGAGTAGTCCTACTCGAATTAGGTACATGCCCAACCGTTCATATACTTGCATAAAGAAAATAGCAGGGACTAAATTTTTCAATTTTAAGCTTCATACTTTAATTTCGCTTACATATTTCGAATTCGATTATAAGGCTTACAATTGAAAAAGTCGGTCTCTGCTATTTTCTTTATACAAGTATATGCAAGGCTGGGCATGTACCTAGGGCTACTTACTGTCAAAAGATATGGATGTTCGTAGATTCGAAAGAACAGTATGCATTGGACAATCACTCCTATATTCAACCATTTTGAGTGTTTGTAGACTCAGCTCACCAAGCTCTATCTACTAGTAGTATCACTTTCCGATTTGGAGGATGTTCACTTATTTTACAAATATCCTATTTTCAATTTACAATTGTATAACAGGATAGCTTAAAAGCGATAAAATCTCTTTTTTTTTGTAAGCATTCATAGACTAACATCAAATCTATTGAACTGAAAATAAGGCAAATTATTCAATATTGCGTATACTGAATTATGTTTAGCAATACGTGGCTGTATATTTAAAAAAAAAAAGAAAAGGCGATAAACATACAAACAGAACTCATATATATATGGTCAATTTTTTCATCAAAACCGACAAAGTTTTAAAAATATTTATGCACTGAGATACAAAAGAAATTATCAATGATATGATTAGTATATAGATTTCTATAAAACTAAGAAAATTTGAAAATGATTCAAATTTATGACAATGCTTTTTTCATTGAATAAAAAATAATTTCATAATAAAGATTGAAAACTTACTTTTCACATGCTCGTTGTGTAACATGATAATTAAAATTATTAGTTGATACACGTTCATAATCAGCATAACTGAAGAGTAAACTAAAATTTAGAAAATATATTACATAGAATATCTTTTTAATATTAAAAAAAAAAACAATTTACAATTTTTCATTTTCAAATGCTCTAGCACGACAAAATAATATATCACTATCGTTTTTATTATATTGTAAAGCTTCAGTAGCATATTGAATAGCATGTATATTATCATTAAGTTTTAAATAACATTCAGCACAAATAGTCAATATTTGAACAATATATTCTGTATAATAATGATAATCTAAAATAAATAATTCAAAAAAAAAATCGATATATATATATATCTAATTTTTTTTACCTAGTATGCCATTGTGAAGCATTTTTTTTGATACATCAATAGCATTTTTATAATTATTTGATTCACTAAATCTTTCAATATCACCCATAATTTTATTAAGTGACCATGGTATAGAATTTTTTGACCATGGTCGATCATAATATGATGAAAATCGATGATTTGGTTGAGATTTAACTAAATCATGTAACCAATTTTGTATAGTTAAACCAAAATTTGAATTTGAAATAGTATCAGTAATTGATATACTTCGCGTATATGTATCATTATGATTTGTCCATGAATTTGAAAAACTCTATTTATTAATAGATATACAATAGATTGTTGTGTCTAATATTACTATTCATAATTAATATACATTATTAATAAATCGTTATTGATATGTGATCTTTAGAAAAAGAATGGAAAAGTAGAACCCGTCGATTTGAAATTTATATCAATACTAGATTGATAAGTTTATATTGAACTATTTCATCTGTGAATAGTAATAATTGATGTATTCATTTGTTTTTTTCGGAATATAACAAAAAATCTCAAAAGAATTCGTTTACTATTCATATTCTACTTAGCAACGATGATATATATATATATATACTCAAAATAATTGTATTATGTTTTTATTTATTACTCTATCAATTAGTCCGTTTGATTTTTTTTTTCTTCTTTTTTTGAATACTAACTGTATTTGATTTATATGTTGGAGAATTCTTTGATATTGATGGTATATTATGATTATTTAGTTTATCATGTAAATCATCATAATCAGTACTTAGTTGATGATGATGATATATATTTGAAGTATTATATTGTTTATGATTTTCATTCATTCCAATAGCAATACTATCATCAATTGTCGTATTTATAATTGTTTGTTTTATTGATGTTGGTTCGAATGGTTTTCGATTATTTGATTCTGGTGTATCAGAATCATTATTATTAGTTGGTGATACATTTCCACTACGTGCAATATGTTCTTCATCATCACTTAAATTTTCTACTATACCACCATTAGCTTCATCACCTAATGCCATATCATCTTCATCATCATGTAATGATGATAATTGATATTGATTTGTATGATGATCAAATTCAACATTAAAATTAGAATGTATATTTTGATTTTGAGAAATATCTATATTCATAGAATGACTCATGGTATTGTTTACTTGTTGTTCTTCTTTATCTTCGATTTCTAATGATGGAATTTGTAAAGATATAGTCTAATAAAAATCTTTGTAAGAAAAAGATGATTAATAAAAAAAAAAGAAATAACTTACAGTTGGTGATTCAACTTTATTATCACTGGCAATTAAATTACTATTCATATGTCGAACAGTTAAAACATTATTTAATAAGTTCTAAAAAAAAAAAAACAGAAAATTCAAAATAAAAGAAATATTATTGAATTAATTCAATCGAAGTTTTTTTTGTTTTCTAAAACTTTCTATAAATCTAAATCAAACAATTGTTTGAAAAGATTTTCTGTTGATTGAAACAAAAAGAAATTAATTACGTACATATATATAGTCTTGTAAGCAAAATCTTCTAAGTTCGATATAATACAAGAGAAATCTTTCAATGGATACTTTGAAAAAAAGTTCGAACTTTTAATTGATTGCAGTAGGAGTCTACGAAAGTTTCGCACCGAAAGATGCGCACCAAAAGTTGCGCACGGAAAGATGCGCACGAGAAAGTTACGCACGATATATATATATACTCACAAATATTTATAAAGAAACAAAAACAAAAAACATAGACTAGGCCGTTCTTTTTATTTCATTTAATAGCGATACGGAAATCCGTCATCAATCCAGACTATTCATTTCTGTTAGCGTCTTGTTCCATATCACTATTGAATGAAATAAAAAGAGGGTGGGGTGTGGGTAGGTACCCATTAGATCATCATCCACACCTCACACTCACGCCCTAGTAATTGTATGTATTTTTATGGACGGTATCATCAACTCTTGTTTTTGGTGTCTTATTCATAAATCTAAATATTTCAATTTAAGATTCTAAGAAATAAATAAAACTATTAATTGTTTGTGTTTTTTCTAACTTTTTTCTATCGAAGTAAAACTGATTATTAGACAATTCGTGCGCATCTTTCGGGATCCCCCGTAACATGTAGTAAAAAAAAATCCTAGAATACTTTTCAGAATATTCATAGTTCATTAGAATATAGTCTTGATTAAAAAGCAACTTAATTTCTTTGTTAGAATGAAAGAATTCTTCTTCTATACTTTATTATTACTCATTGGAATAAATATTTTTCTTAGTCAAACAAACAAAAACAAAAAAAAACTTTACTTGTGCTTCATCATTATCAGGTTCAATTATAAGAATATTATCAAGATCATTTTTTGCTTTATCATATTGTTGTTTAGCAAAATAACATGAAGCTCGACGAAATAAAGCTAACAAAAAAAAAAAACAACTTATTAATAAGATTCTCAATTATTTCATATAAAATAACCTTGAATATCTTTTGAATTAATTGATAATACTTGAGAACAATCTTGTATAGATGAATCAAAATTATCTAATTTAAAAACTAAATCAACAAAAAATAAAATCATTGAATGAAAAATAACCAAATAAAAATTAATTTTAACATACATGCTATTGCTCGTTTCATATATGTTATTGGATTTTTATCAAGTGTAATACTTTTTGTATATAAATCAATTGATTGTTGATAATTATTTAATTTAAATGCTGTATCTCCATTAAGACGATGTTGTTCAGCTGTATGAATACGTTTACGATCTTCATAAGATTGAGTTCCTAATTAATAAAAAAATAAAAAAATGAATTTTTTTTTTTCATATCAAATACACAAAATATTACTTAATAATTCATTATTATCACTATTATTATCTTCCCAATCCGTATTAAATTCAGAAGAAACTTGCTGTTCAAAACTATAATAATTAAAAGAAAAGTATTATCTTTCTAATGATTTATATATATTTACTTTGCCCATTCTTCATTACTTTTTGGTACTGTTACTTTAAAATCATTATTTATGATAGGTTCGGAAATAGTAGCATTGCCCTAATAAAACAAAATTAATGAATAGATAATGTTTTTTTTTTTTGTCGAATGAATCAATACACACATTATTGATATTTGAAGAATTAGATATTGAATGAATAACATTAGTAATTTGTTGTGATTCATTATTCGATGAAGTTGATTTATTATTGATTGAAATTTGATCTTGTCGAAATGTTTGACTAGAGATAAATTAAATGAAAATAATTTTTCTATGATTTCTTTAATTTTTTTTTTTGTTTTTCAAACTACTTTGTTGATTGAATCTTTCGAATTCGATCAATTGTTAATTGTTCCAAAATTGTATGTGAACCAATTTCTCCACTTCTATTTTTTATTTTTTTTTTAATATAGAAATAAATTTAACATTTAATAAAAATAGAAAAATAAATAAGTTTTTTGTGTTCTTTTTTTTTTTTTTCTTTACATTAATACTTTGAGTATTTGTTCAAGTTCAATTCCATCTGTACATTGTTCTATATATGTATGATTGATATGATTTAATGGTATATGATATTTTTTTGTATGACTTGTGAGCACACTTGTTGCATCATTCATCTAGAAAACTATTCGATTTACTTATTTTAGTACCTTAACATCTGGTTGTCTTTTATCTTTTTTTATTCAAGTTAAGGACATTCCTGTCGTTATCTATGCATCAACACCTCGATGAATAAACGAATTGTTTGATGTATTTCTCTATTCTTTCAGTATTTCTAATTAAAAATAGATAGATCTAGAAAGATAAATGTATTAGTAATACATATCTCACTTATCTTTAGTAAGACGCCATATAATGTAATATTGGCATGTAATGGATAGAAAAAAAAAAGCAAGGAAAGAATATCATCGAGCAATACAACATTCATATAAGATAAGATATATTGAGAACATATAAATGTAAGAAGAAACTAATGGTTTGCTTGTCAGTTGGATTAGTTGCACCTACATATAAACATACTGAAGATATATATATATACAAGAGAAGAACAAGAAGCAAAGAAATATGATTTTCAATCAATTAATATTTTTTCTTTTATTCATACTTATTTTAAATACTGTTACAGCTCGATTACAACATCCATTTAAACAATGTTCACGTATGTATTTATTTTGATTAGTAATTTCTATGATTATTATTGATAGTTTTTTCTTTTTAGCAAGAAGTACTGGTGAAATTGTTAAAGCTTCCGTCAATGCTCCATGTGGCAATGAATATTGCACATTTTACAAAGGCACTGATGCTCGTCTTGAATTTACATTTAAATTACGTAAGATAATTAAAAAATAATTTCCAAAAGAAAACAAAAAAAAAAAAATATTCTTTTTCTCTTTCTAATAGGAAAGAAAGCTCATAAAGTACGAGCTAAAGTAATGGCAACAATTGGTACAGTTGATCATGATTTTGCTTTACCAAATCATGATGTTTGTCAACAACTTGGTTGTCCACTTCAAGCTGATACTGCTTATTCATATCATAATAGCATGTTTGTTAGTCCAACATATCCATCTGTATGTTAGACAAACTATTGTTTTTCAGGCTTCTATTAACATTAATTCAATATAAACATATTTTTTTATGTTTTTTCACCGAATAGGTTAAAGTCAATCAAATGCGATACTATTTAATCGATGGTAAAGGACGTGAGCTTGCCTGTGTCTCATTACCCGTAATGATTACTGAAAAAGACTCGAAACAATAAGTGGTAGCGAACACTGCATACATTTCTTTGTTAAGAACAAAAACATTTTTTTTTGTCAAGCATATATATATATGTGTGTGTGTCTCGTTTTGAATTTTTTTCACTCCTCTTCTTTTCTTTGTCAAAAAAAAAACATTTTTTTTTTTTTTTTTTTGAAATTAAGTAAAACGTAATAAAAGAATATGAAAAAATAGAGTATTCAATTCCATTAGAAAATAAGAGAGGAGGTAAAACAACACCAAACAAACAACAACAATGCCGTTATATATGGAAGATATACTTGCTACAGATCCTAATCGATCAACAGGTAAATAGATGTAACTATTAATCAAAATTTTTATCTAATTTATAAGATTCGGCAACTGAATATCGTACACGTTATATGTCACCACGTCGAGAAGATTATACTCCACATGTAGTTTTACCAAAAATTAGTACAAATCGACCACCATCACGTAGTCGTTCATTTCTTTCATATGATGTTGATTCAAATTCAACATTAACAGCATCAGAATATCGTCTACGTTTTCCTAATCATCATCCAAAACGACCATATGTTTTTCATGCTCAACCAAGTCATGTTTTTGATTTTGTACCAATGCCAATTAATTCAAGAGTTTCACCTCGAATTGATCCATCACCATCATTTATAAAAGATACTGAATATCATGAACGTTTTCCAAATTATCGTTCATATGTACCAATTCAAGAATTAGTTCCACCACATCTACCTTCTCAACCAAATATGCCATCAGCAACACAAATAAAACGAGAACGTATGACACGTAGTCAATATTTTCATGAACTTATTACAGATAGTGATAAATATAATGGTGGACATCGATATGTTGGTAATAGTGAACAACGTACTGCTTTTCAATGGCCTTATCATATGCAACAGCAACAACAACAACAACAACAACAACAACAGCCAATATCTTACTCAACAATGAATATGTATAATCAAATACCACCAATTTATCGAGAAGTACTCAATGCTTCGAATTAAATTTGTTCGAAAGACAAAAAAAAAAAAAGAAAAATTAAAGAAACACAAGAATTGAGTTCAACATTTTAATTTAATAAAGAATATAACTAATTTTTTTTTTCTTCTACTAAATACGTTCGGCTATATAGATACCGAAACGACAACCCATTTTAATAACACTTGTTAAACCTTGATAGAAAGGTGCCTTTAAAAAATAAATAAAATAAATAAAATTTAATAAAATAATATTTATTTACTTGTTCAGCTTTATTAGCTAAACCTGTATCAAGATGTTGAGTTTCATCATCACGAAATTTTTTAATTGTCTTTAAACAAAAAAAAAAGAAATTTTCAATTCTAATTCATAATATCTTTATTTCAATGTCTTACTTCCATTAATTCTTTATCTTTGGTATGATCGGCATGTTCCATTAAATCACGTAATTGACTATAAATTGAAAATGTTGAACAAAAAAAAACAAAAAAACTTACATATTTGAAATTTTCTCACTCGTTATAATGTTCACTAATAACAGCTTCTACAGCTACTGTACATGCCATAGCTGCTTCTTTACCTAGTAAAGCTGTTCCAGCACCTAGAATAAAATTAAAAAAAAAACAAACATTATTTTTCCATTCTACAATCTTACAAAAAAAAACGAAAATTTATTTTACCTAATGCATAACCAGCAACATTCCATAATGGTAATAATACTGATGGTCGAGCTTTATATTTAGGTATTAATTCATTAAATTTTGCCAAATGTGCTTTTTCTTCATCCCACATATGCTATTCATATAAAAGATGATATATAGATAAAAAAAAAAATTTTTTTTTTCCTTTGTTTTAATTATTTAATAACAAATATACTTGAATTGTTGGTCCAACATCTGTACGACCTAAAATTGCCATTTGACCAGCATAAATTCTATCAGCAGCTAATTCTCCAGCATGATCAACACGTATAATTTTATCAAAAAGTTCTTGAGTTTTTTGTTCTGGTTTAACTTCAAATGAAGTTAATGATGATAAAAATCGACTAGATTCAGATCGAGATATTCTTTTTAATAATAAACGTGACATAATCATTATCTATAAAGTCAATATATAAATTTCATAATTTATATATAAAAATACAAATAAAAGGTAAACAATTCAAGTCAGTATTATAAAAAAAAAAGAAAACAAGCTAATGCAAAATGAAAAAAAGAAAACTCGAACCTCAGAAGAAGCTTGTGAATTCTCTTGCAAGAATAATTGCGTGTAGCGATATGGGAAAAATATTTGTTAATTAGAGAAAATAATTTTAACTATAATCCTCAGAAATTTCTTCTGTTACGATTTTAAATATATTAAAAAAAAACTAGATTATTCTGATACAGTAGGTTTCAATACTGAATTTTCTTTATTCCATTCGATTAAAGCAAATGGTGGTTCATTTTGTAGATCTTTCGTTTCACCATATGGACATGTTATTAAATGTTGAGTTAATGATGTTGATTTGTTTGGAGTTTTTAATTGCCATTTTGGAACGGCAGATGAAGTATTTGTAAATAACCAATGCTAAAACAAAATTTGTTACAAAAGCAAAAAAAAAAAGAAATATTCATACCGAATGGTTCATTAATAATGAATCTCTCTATATTTTGACAATAAAGTTTTATTTTTATCATCCTTTAAAAGTGATCATTTTTCGAAACAAATAACTTTAGTTTTCATCAGTTATGTAGTTTTGTAAAGATTGAAAATCTGAATTTTTTCATGTCCTTATAGAGATTTTGCAATTCAAACGAAAAAAAAATATTAATATTTCAAAAAATTTGACTATGAAAGATGCTTTCAGTCTCTCAGTAAAGCTTAGATATTCCAAAGTAGATCAGCCCAATATAGGATATTTTTCAATAGAAAATTTTTTACTTTTTAGACTCATCTTCATACTTCTACGACGCACGAGTTATGATGCATCACAACGGAAATAAAGAAGATTTTCGTGCAAAGACAACATGTTTTTCTTAAAAGTAAAGTTCCTAATTTTGTAAAGCTTGACGTTTTCTCTCGTTTGGTATATAAATCAAAGGAAAGTTACATTTAAATTTAATACGATTCACTATTATCGAATCGTTAGAATTACGGTAAAATTTCGCTGTTGAAACTAGTTCAGGAATTATTTCTTTTCCTAAGAGTTCTAGAAAATTCAGAATAAAATAATTGAATTTTTGAGCGATCATCAAATAGAAGAAAATCGAAACAATTCTCAATGATTGATTTATTTATAATTCTAGTCGGCGGAGCTTTTCAAGTGTTACAAAATATGTTTATTTTCTTCCAGAGCGATCATTCGAATCATCGAAAATAGCATCATAGATGGCTTGAAACATAGTTTTACTATATTTTACGAGTTTACGCAAAACGGTGAGGTAAAGACATTGATTTTATATTGTTTATGATACCGTTTTCTTCAACCTGAGTTTCTACTTATTTCATTAGTGAAAAAACGTTTCCAATTGATCAATTATTCTTGAATCAATAATAAGATTTGTTTAGCTTAAAAAGTTGATTTACATGTCTAAGAATTCTAAATGCTTCGTTTAATTTCTGTTTTCTCATAATTTTCTATAGAAATATGTTCGATAGATAATTTCAACATATATGTTTTTATAAAAACAATCAAGTTTAAGAACGAAAAAGATATTAATTCATTATTCAAAATATAGAAAATATTATTATTATTATTATTATTTATGAATTATTAAATAAATAAAATATATTATTACTTTTTGTCGTTCGATCCAAGTAACATCTCCATGTGAAAGTACATTACGTTCATGTTCAGTAACTACAATACCTCGTGAAGGTAATAAATCTTGACATAAGTCACGTAAACGCTAAAGTTTCAACACAATTAAATATTTGTTCGAAAAACAAAAAAAAACAATACAAAAATAGTTATTCTTACACGACAAACAAGTGAAATATTTCTTAATGATAAACTATCCAATTTAAGTAAAATATTCGTAAGTATTTCTGATGGTAATCGAAAAAAATCTAATTCATTATTATAATCTTCATTTATATTTGGATACCAATCAAAAGCAATAGCATCATTCATTTGATCAAAACGTATTTGAATTGATTGTCCATTAAATTGACATGGTTCAAGACGTTCATATTGAAATTTACAACCATATTGAGATTTTGGACATTGTTGAATAAGTGATAAATTAAGAATACAATCAATACGAAAATGTATATGCCAATGTTGTTCAATTTCATCACGACGACATAAAGCATGACAATAAAATACAGGTCTTTTATTAAATGATGTTAATGGTTTGTAATGTGTATTTGAAGAAAAATAATTTAAACGATAAATAAATGATGTTGGTAATTCCATATCAGATATAATAGACATTGAATTATTTTCAACTGATTCTGTTATTGAATTTGTTGTCAAAGAATTTGAAGATGAAAGTTTTGATATATCAGATGAATTAACTAATGTGGAAGACATTTTGACTAGAGATGGTACTAATATTTTATCAGAAGAAATATCATAATTTAAATTAAAATCAATCATTTGTTTTCGTTCCTCTGAAATCACAAAATTTTCATAATAATGAGTCTTATTTGCAATTAGTTTGTTGGTCAAACACACACATATATATATATATATGAATATTAATAAAATACAATCTGAGTGCTGTTGTATCTAAGACTGATACCAATCAATAGATTTTGAGAATTTTCTAGCCTTTATTTTGAATCATTCTGAGTAAAAAGGTTCAAAAAATTAATGTACAGAAAAAGAACTTTAACTGAAATTATGGGATGAATATCTCATGGCTTTAGCCAGTTCAAAATAGGTAGCAGAATTACATTTGATTTCATATTTCAAATGTTTTTATTTTGTTGAGTTTTTGATTCAGATTGCGTTTCAATAGACTCAGAATTATAAACTCAATCGATTAGTATATGATGTTCAGTGTGTATCAAAACGTATTTTACTAGTACTCCTGATTTGTTACTAAGGACAGTTTCTTTTCTTTCATGTCTCCAAAAGTGTAACTTAGTATTGAAGGTAAAGAGTGCTATGTGAACATTTGTCAAATACTGATCTCTTTTTCTCTATCGTCTTCATATCATATGCTAGTAAGACGATTTAGAAGGAAAAAGATGAAAGTAATAAGTTCATATATGATCATCTTTTTATTTATATGCGTAGACAATAAGATATTTACAAATATGACTCATTATTTAATTAATATTGATCTAGATTACCTTCACTAAGTTCTGATAGACGTTGATCTTCATTTTCTTCTAATTGTCTAAGATGTTTTCGACATGTACTACATATAACACCATCACTTCTACTTAACACACATTCAGGCATTGTTATATAACGATATTTTTCACTACGAATAATATGTTCAATTTGAGTATTTTTTAATTTTTTATTTCTTAAATTTGAATATATTTGTTGTTGTTTATTTTGAAATGCCATAATATGTTCATGCCATATATTATCACGATAAGCAATTATTTCTATAAGATTTTTATTTGTAGAATTTTCTAAATTATTTAAATAATATTCATGATGATACATAAATGAACAAACTGTTATTGATGCTGGACATATACGTAAATGTCGTGAAAGATCAGAACGTCGAATTATAGATGGACAACCATAATTAACATTTAAACATGAAATAAAAGCATTTGAACATATATATTCATGATCTTGACGTTTACATTCATGCATACGAGCAAAACATCCATTAGGACAATAAATTAATGGACAAGAAGATATATGAAGACAATTAACTAGAAAACATTTATTACAATGTTCATGTGCCATCTGAAAAAAAAATAATAAGATCGATCGATGTATAATAAACGTTTATTATTGAAAAATTATATTATTATTATTATTATTTTTGAGATACACTAAAAGATTCCTATTGTAGTAGAAAAGATAAAAATACACATAAAATCACCAGTTATGTTAAAAACCATAAAACAAAAAAAAAAAACACAGATTAAACATGATATTAAAAAAATAAAACAACAAAGCAAACCCAACATTAAAATAATTTTATAATTTTATTTTATTAAATAAAATCAAAAAAAAAATAAAAATTATATTTTCATTAAGATGTATTTTTATCCATAGAAGAATTTTGTTCAATAGAAATATTATTATCCGTTGTTGCTATTTGTTTTGAACGTTTATTAATTGTTTGATTAGAATCATGACTACCAGTATCAATACGTTTACTTATTTGTAATTGATCTGTTGTTGTTGTTTGTAATCTTGTTTTTGTTCGATGTGTTGTTACTTGAGGAGCAATATATGGAATAAGTTTTGATATACTACCAATAGCTTTTGTACGTCCTTCACGAAAGATAAGTTTCATACCAAGTCGAAGATATTCAGGTGATTTTAAAAAACGAAATAAAACATTTGCACGATCACCTGTTCGTAAATTTTCAACAGGTAATGAAACAATTGTTGCTGTTTGACGAATACTACCACAATGAACTGAAAGAATAGTTTTTTTATATTTTTTTTTTCAAAAAAAAAACATAAAAACGATTCTGTCAGATAAAATAATCGATCATCATTTAACAAATCATTTATATCGTTTTCTAGAGCAATTCATGATAGATTTTTTATAATATGAGATGTCATATAGTAATTGTAGATTATATAACCAAAAATTAGAATTCAATATGTTTCTAAAACGAACTTTGTCTTATCTTCTTTCGTATATATATAATAATAATCATAATAGCTTTCATGATACCTTAAAACCTTAACATTTTTACTAGATTTGATAATTTTTGACTTTTTCAATTCTTCTATATTCAAAGAAATTAAGTATCAGCAAGTCTAGAAAATCATTTCTAAGGACAGAAAAGTACATGAGTTTGAAAATAAATACTTTTTGAATGAAAAAGAATTTTTGTTTTCAGAGTATGAGAATACCCCAAAAATTTTCAGTCGTATAAAAGACCGAACATATATTGAATTTAATAAAGCTCCGTGCTTTGATCTCATCTGACTACTCAAAATTTAAATTCATAAGAAACAAAATAAAATAAAAAAAAAACTAATTTTTCTAATTTTTGCAAGATTCATATTTGTTGAATAATTTTAAATATACACAATTGCAGATAAAACTAAACTGATAGAGTCTAATGAGTAGGTTAATATTTTAGAGTGGTTCAAATTGTTGATATTTAGTCGATCTTTTTTCTGTAGGACTTCAATTCGCCGATGAGATCATATTTTTTTGAAGTTCGAGCTAAAACTGAACCCTACATAAAAGCATCGATATTTACTCTATAAAATGGTATAGACGACTTTTCAAATGACGAGTAGTTATTTTTATCTGACAGAGTTCTTTATTTACCCATAGCTTGATATTTAACACTGATTGTTGTTGGATGATGTAGAATAAGTAAATCAGCTTCGAATTCCCAATATGAAACAGGTGGAATAAGTGGAGATAAAAGGACCATACCTTTACGAAGTTCAGATTTTTTTATCTTTAAATAAATAAAATTATTCAATTATGTGAATGAACTAATTTCTTTTTTTTGCAATCTTTACTTTTCTCAAAGCAAATGACGATGTTTGACCACCACGACATTCTGTAACTGGCATTCGTTTACGATGTATACCTAATCATTATAATAAATATAGTTTAAATATTTTATTTTTTTTCTATAATAAATATACTTCGTATTTGTACTGTTTTAAATTGTCCTAATGGATCAGGTCCTAATTGTAAATTATCACCAACTTTAATAATACCTTTTAATGTTGTACCACTAACAACTGTTCCAACACCAGGTACAACATATAAATCATCTATTTGAAATTCAGCTGGTTGATCAATACATGCTTCCATTCTTGTTGATAATAGATTAAGAAATTTTTTTAATAAATCTAAATTTTTTCCTGTTACATTTGATACTTGAAATATTGGACATAAACGTTCAGAAGTAAAATTTGTTGCACATGTTATTATATCATCATTATTTTGTATTAATAATGGAATTTTTCGACAACCAGCTGAACGTAAAATTTTTTGTAAAAGTTTCATTGTTTCTTCTAAAACATTTGCAGGAGCCATATCAATTTTAGTAACAACAACAAAAACAGGTACACCAAGTGCAAGTGCTAAACCCTTTTAATACAAAAACCAAAACAAAACAAGTTTTTATCAATGAAATTAATGCTATTGAAAATAAGAATATATAAATATCTTACTAAATGTTCTTTGGTCATACCAATTACACCAGCATTAGCACCAATCTAAATAAAACAAAATAATTACTATAAAATCTACTTATATTTTCTTACCATTAACATTGCGTAATCAGGAGCATATCCTGTCATACCAAATACAGTTGTTTTTAAATATTTTTCTAATAAAATATATAAAATTATTTATATTTCATAATATAATACAAAAAAATATTTTCTTACCATGTCCAGCTAAATCAATAAATGTTATCACCTGAAAATAATAAATATTTCTTTTTTTTTTTTGTCTACTAATAATTATTTAATAGAAAATTTTCTTTTTTTTTTACCTTTGCTGATTTTTGACAAATATTTGTCCAATCAAGTGATTGATTACCATGTGTGTCTGGTTGATTTACAATAACACCTTGAGCATCAAAACCAAGAATATCCTATTAATAAATATATATATATATTTCTTTTTTGTTCGAAAGTAGTAAAATAATTTTTGAAAAATCTATATCAATCAACTCTATTCATTTATATTTATTTCAATATAATTTTTTTTCTCGAAAAAAGAAAAAAATTCTGTTGAAATTCTCCTTCATGTAATATAGATTTACTTAGAAAATAATTTGATCAATAGAAAATAAATTTTGAGTCTGTACAATATCAATGTAAAACAAAAAAAATTCAATAACTAACTAAGAAAATAGTATTTTTATTAAAGTTACTTTTTTGATTAGATCCTGAGAAGAGTTTCAGATTTGTTTAAAAAAAAACAAAAAGGTTTTAATCATTAAACATACACATCCAACAGATGATGTTCGTCCAGTTTCTGTTTCATGTTTATGTCGAAATAATTTTTGTCTTGCAATACCACGACCATCATCTAATATACCATGAGTTAATACACCAAGTAATGTTGATTTACCAGCATCTACATTACCAGTAACAGCCACTCTTAAATAATCAAATTTTTTTTTTTGCATCGTTAAAAACTTAAAATTATTTTTTTTTACCTAACTTCTAAAAAATCTTCTTGATCAATATGTTTTCGAATAAGATATTCATTAATAAAACGTGTATTATTTGAAAGTAATTTTTCTCTTAAGAATTGAATTTCAAAATTAAGTATAGTTTGTATACTTTTAAGTGTAGCTATTGAAGCTTCCATTTCATCATGTAATAAACCAGGTGATTCACCATCAGTAACTATAAAATTAAATATATATGTATCAAATATTTTTTTTTTTCTTATTAATTACTTCCTGTTCCAAGTTCAAGAATAGTTTCACCATGTCCATCATCAAGACGTTTTTTAAGATATTTACAAAGTCCATCAAATTGTTCGACATTTGGACTTATCCATGCTGTCTTTTTTGATAAATATTGTCGAATAATATCAGATTGTTGTTCATCTATTTCATTAGATATTTTTCTATTAGTTATTTCAGCAAATATTTGTATTCCATCAGCAGCAGTCGCCATTGTTGACAACTTATCTGAAATAATTATTTATTCTTATGATAGTCAATTGTTTTTTTTTTTCGTCGAAATTTATAATATAAACTATGATTGCAAAAAGAAAATATTATTCTCGAACTTATTAGATTTGTTTGAAGAAAAAAAAAAAAGTATGAATCAACAAATATATATATATGTATCTATTATAAATAAGCTACTGAATGAATATATATATATATATATTGCACAATCATTGAAACATATTTATTTACGAATTAAAATTATGTGAAAAAATTTCTTTTGACAATTATTTTTCGTATTGTTAATATTGATAGTTGAAGTTAGAAAAAAAAACAAAAGAAATGAAAAATAATTCTAAGATTAGAAATAAATTTATTAGTATGGAAATATTATTGATAATTTTAAAGCAAAAAAAAAGAAAGAAATAGGTAGCTTTCATCTTATTGGTCTCTATATAGACATTAATATTGTATTAGTGTCCCTATCAATTATTTTTATATAATATTAAATATGCGTATATGTATTATTTGTGTTTATTATAAAAAGTAAAAATTAGTTTTCTACGATTAATTGAATATTATTAATAATGAGAAAAATAGTAATTTATCTATTGTCTTTTTGACTAAAAATAACTGTGATGTAGTGACATTCGATATTAGAATTCATCTTTATAGGCGGCAAAATATTTTTTTTTTTTTGTATTAGATTTTCAATGCTATTTAGATAAAATATAGTTAGCATCTGGCGGATATCGAACTCATATTTTTCAACGTACAATAGTAGTAAAGATCAAAACATAATTCTTAATTTATATATATGTTCATCGAAATACAATTTTCGAAAGAATTTAATGACAAAGTGCAAATGTTTCACAAAAAAAAAAACAAAATTGCATTTTGAATATCTTTATTTTTGTTGAAAATATTTAATAGGCATATAACAATACCTTTGATAGATCCTATTTGATCTGATTTTACAAGGAAATTTGTCTAGAAGTCAAACAAGTCTTCAGTCGAGACAATGCTCATGTTGATCAATAATATCGCATAACAGAAAAGTTAAGAATGGTTTTATTTTTGGAAGCTTCATTTTAAAGATATCGAAACTTTGCACGA